CAGTTTAGCTAATTAGGTACCTAGTATCTAGTAGGCTGAAGTGTTGCGGCGTGATATCAGCTAGATTAATATGCTCGCAAGAAAACCTGTCGTAAATAGTCTTATCACAACCTTGGGCTTGGATTGCGTCCAACGGGTGGAACGCGCCCGCGGCTGGTCGTTGACTTGCAGGAGATTTATGCACAGATTACGTAAACAGCTTCCAGTACTATACAGCATGATGCAGTGGCAACTCATGCCAAATGGTAGCTTCCTAGCCTGCTCTACCGAAGCCTTCTTCGAAATGAAAACCTTACGTTTACTTCTTTACAGTGTCTAACTAATGTATGTTTAACACTGTTGCATATTATAGAGATGTAATAAGGTGCTTTTTTCACTATAAAAGTATACAGTCTGATGTGTTGTTTGTTGACTGAAGATACACAATCAAGGTTTAAAAAATTAAGAGCTACAGATTCTAGAACTAGAATAGACAGCTAGATGAAAAATATGGTTGGTAACAGATTTTCAGCAGGTGCCTCGTAAAAGTATGTAGGTAATTGTGATTAATTAATTTCTCAAATCTCATTTGAAATACTGTTCTTTTCCGATTTAGTAATAAGATGAGATTATTTTATATTTCAGATGTTCGTTGAAACACTACTTTCAGCGACGAAAACTTCGATTTGTATTGTTCGCAAATGATACAATTATTTTTATAACTACTTATTAAAGAAATATAAAATGTAAACGGAACTAAATGCGAACAATACTTATTAGAACCAGTTAGGTATTTTATCTTAGAATATTTACTCAAAGAATTCTAATGACTCTACATTTTCAGTTTTCACCGTAAAGGTCAGCTATCGCTTTATGATAAACCTATCGCTTTATGATAAACTCATTAAAAGGTGTTCTGGAATTAGAAGGTAATAATTTCTGATCAGATTTTTAAATCAATCTATGTCATCTCGGATGTGTGAAAGTAATATTTTTTAATTTTACAATCTTAAATGCATCACGTATTTTAGATAATATAATAACTAACATAAGTTCGGCTAAGCGTGTTCAATGTTAAGGTTGGATAATGATTTAGACCTTAATTGGGGTGTTAATGACATGCTTAACCAACGAAGCGTTAGATGCGTGAAAAACGAGTTGTGTTTTTCCGTATCCGTGTAAATAAACAATTATTGAATTGCGTAGCCTGTAATAGAATATGAAAAGAAGAATTGTTTCAAGATTTATTGTGCTATTTAATTAATTATTATTTTATTAATATAGAGTAAAATTGGAATCGTACATCATCGCGCCCGCGTGCGTATAGATAAATCATATTCTTTATTTCTATAAGTTCTAGAATAATTTTTCAATTAGGCATGGGTATAAGTTATGAAATTAACAATTAACTAGGAACATTTTGTGTTTTCCTAGCCAATTAATTATTCTTATCTAATGTGCGCTAAGGATGCGACAGAAATAGAAGTGAAAGTAATTCAAGTGGTCTCAAGCTCAGAGCTGCTAAGTGCTTGGTTCATGTAACAAGTTCCGGAAAACCAGTCGGCGTTGGAAGCAATCTAAAGTTTTCATAGACATTTTCTACATTTGAACCTGCCTAGTTTGTCTATTCGTTCTAACTATAAACTTCGATTTAACATTTTATGCAAAAGTTCTGTTAAGATTTATTTATTTAGCTTGGGCTCTACTGATCACAGCGATATCAACGTTAATGGAAAGTGACCAAGCGTTAAATTATAACTATTGGATAACTGTTGGATCTTGATTTAGGTGGGTCACTATCAAACTCTTCAGATCTGTTTTCGAAAATTAAATTCTAGAGATAATTCCATACTTATTCGTTGTATCGAGAGTATGCGGAAAAATTGTTGTAAGGTTAAAGCGAAGAGACCGACACGGATCATATATTACCTACATACACATTCTTAAATTCATAACACAAACAGCTACAAATAATATTTGTGTAATCTCGCACTCATTACGGAAAAAAAATTGTTAATTATTGTGTAATCTCGCACTCATTACGGAAAATATTTTGTTTGGTGATTCAAACTTTCAACTTAGTGCCTACTCCGTAGAGCTAAAAGCTCTAGCTTATTGCACACTCTTATTTTTCTCATCAGAGTGGATAAGTTTATTTGCACTTCGTTTTTGGTGCAGTTTGTACTTTTCTTAACTTTTCTCTAATTAGAAAACAATTAATTGGTAGTATCCGTGTTACTCTACCTAATTAAGTGTTATAAAAACTGGTCGTCAGTAAAATTATCATTAATTAACAAGGAAATAAAATTATTAAAAATGTGATAGGTAATCGTGGATTGTAGGCGCTAATTGCAATCCGTGTTAGTAACATAATTTATTACTTTGTTGAGATGTATATTTTTGTCTTAAAACCAATTAATTTTGCGGTCACGATGGTTGATGGGCATCCGGCTGAATGGATTTGTGTAGAGTTTCATACTGGACATTTGAAAAGATAGTTTTTTTACGCAAAAAATTATTGCAAACGCAACCTTAGCTTTGGTTTGAATACATAAACATATTTGGGCATGGGCAGTGCGTAAAATAAGTATTCATCGTAGCATTTGTTAGCGTTGGAGTTTTAAGCATTTTATTTAGCTGTGTATCAATTGAAAAGTCCTTAGAGCTAGTTAGTCTCGACGGGCATTATTGTTTTGTTGTTGCGCGTTGTGCTATTATGGCACGCAGCGTCGCATATTGTGCGGCGTGTTGCGCCCGCGCTGCCACGATCGTGCGAGTAAACAATGTCTTTGTCTCGAGTTGATGCAGCAACCACACAACACAAATGACGCAGTCTCGGGTTCGCTCTTCCTTGAATCAACCGTAATGGATCGTTTGTCGAGTTTCATCGTACTGCAATGAGGATCCGATACTCAACCCGTTATGGGCCTATTAACCTATGATTCACTGTAACTCGACTGGTGATGTAACATTAAATGGTATTCAAGTGCCTGTGTTGTAAGTCATTGATTTTGAATAGAAACATGATATGAATTGAAACATTGATTGATATGAATTTGAAATGAGCATCGTAAAAATTAAGTGTGCATTTTAAGTAGATTTACGTCGATAAAACAACGCAATTAAGACACGGACAATACAAACGAGTGGACTTTTTATGGAACAAATGTGTTTGTTTCATCTTCTATTTCCTACATCTCAACCCAAATACAACGTTAAACGTAAAAAAGAAATCGCACAATTAGAGCACGACGTAGTGATTGATCTCAAACATTACAACAAAAATATTTTGCAGATCTCGTATGTAATAATAAAACAACGTGTCAGCATCGTGTGGGGCTTACAATGCGCAGACTCAATACCAACATATGACGGACGAGACAATGTATCTACGTATGTATATCTACTGTGCGTATTCATCAATTTAAGTACGAGTGTACCTATCTCTAGATTGTATTCATTGGAGATATTGTATCAAATATTTGCCTCCAGTAAATTTTGGAGAAAACCTCCCTATTCCTCAAGTAGTTATCATAGAGATGCACGAAGAAGGAAAATGTAAAGACATGAGGATTATTTTTGGTAACCCATCATTCATAATCTTTTCAGGGCACTTTTACACGTCCCAAATATAACTTGCCCCACCAGTCAGGTCGCAGGTGAGCGATAGTGCTGAGAGAAGCTATATTTGTTCACATTTGGTCATTCGGATTTCGGGCATGTAGAGTGCACCTCCGTGCAAGACGTATACAAGCGGTTAGGCGCTTAATTTAGCGTTGACCTCAAATGGTGCAAATAAAACATCGTGGTTACGTGCAGGTGTACATGTTTCGACTTAAATGAACCTTGATCTGAATCAGCAATTCCGTTATGTTTATTATTTTGTATTCGATATACCTACCCACTTGGTTCGATATCATCTGGTTAGTTTCCGTGTAAATGAAAATGCATTGTTTTTGTTTTGTAATTTCGAGAATACTAGCTGAGTAAATGCTTCTTTGTGTCTCCTTTGTACACGGACTTCCTCGAATTTTGGGAATGTTTCAATGCTGTTTCCCACACTTGACTTCAAGAGCCTCATACCTCTGAGAATAAACATTATCTGAAAATAAACTGTGTTCCACTACCGCTTTCATAAATTAGGTTGCTATTTATGTTCAAGCTTCGGTTCAATTGTTCGTTTGGGTTGATTACGTGTTGAGCACGCTATATTTGGGTGTAGATTAGGATCCTAAATTACTTGGTATGTTTGTTTTTCGGCTGATAAAAACAATACGCTTGAACTGTCTGGAATAAGTAGTAAAAAATCTATAAATACTTCATGTTCAAACAGAACTTTATCTTTGTTGATCTAGTTACTAATGTTATTTAAAATGTTCTATCCTTAGAATGAGTACTGATAACTACTAATTTTATAACTCAAATCATTTATCTATCGGTGGCTCGGTGCAGTACTGAAACTTTCAGGATTCCATATTAGTTTTAAGATTTGTTTTACAATATTTTTTAAAATTGGAACTTAGGCCGGATGTTAAAGTATTATTGAATTTCTCCCACGATTCTCAGGTGCATGTATGCAATTGTTTTATTCTTAGTTATTCATGAGTAATTCTATAAACATTTCGTCAGACAAAACGGATGCTGACGACCGTGGGAGTTAAGGATGTTCAAAAATAACAATGCGTGCCTTATTCACATTCCATTAAGTTATTAAAAACATTGGAATAACTTCGATAAATGTTTGTGTTGTTGACTACGCGACCGGTTGCCACGGTTATGTTATCCAAACTTCGCCGAGTGTTGCAACATGAGCACCTTACACCATACTTTGCGCGGTTACCTACATACATGTTGGTACTCAGCTTCTGAAATTGCTACAAAATCATGCTCCTCAAAATTAACCTGACATGCAAGCTCCGAACTAAGTTCTGTGTAAGCTATGTATTGTGTTATCAATGAAGATCTTTATGTGATCTTAATAGCTGTAATATTATAGAGACAAGTTAAAAATGGTTATTTACCTGTGTCGCCGCAGCAGGCCTCGCCTGGCCGGGGACCCGCTCGGTCCAGCCCCGTCGTTCTCTAGTTTCTCCGGCGACCGGAACAACTTCCGGAAGGCAGCTGCTACCTTTTCCTTCGAGCGTGACGTCATCTTGCACTAATTCAACAACACTTTCTATCCTTACACTTATTATCAACTTTCACAGTTCACAAAGCATCAACAGATTTGTTTACATCCACAAATTGGCTGTGCGTCATGTCAATCGAACTTCAGTTTTGAAATACGAATGAGCGCGTTGCCAGTTCGATCGGCGGTCGAAGGAGGCGTCTCGCACGGGGTGCGTCTGCCGAAGCAGGCGTGCGACTACGGAGTGAGCCGGCCGTTGAAATCGAAACTTGGCAGAGTGGAGGAGGTCGGTTATCGCTCCTCGACGCGATGCGGGCCCGATGTCAGAGTGCGTCGGCGGCTCGCCGCATATCACCGCCACCGGCTGGTCGCTTCGTGTGAACGAACTTACAGCTGACTTATTGCAATCCTTGGAATCCAGTTTCTGTACTTTTAGCTGCAGGAATGTTGCTGGATTCTACGGTGAAGTCGTCTGAAACAAAGGGCAACATATTTGAGATTAAAGTTCTGCTAAACGTTAGCGCAAAATATCTTAATGAGATCGGTCCCTTCTCTGAACCGCCTACACAACACGTTTGTGATAAACGGCGCATTCATCCCCAGACAGCCAAAATGGAGTGTTTTCTTTATATTACTTGGGGTCCACAAAGAAAACGTTATTACCCTGAGGGAGCGTCACTAATTAAATGGAGTGCTGCTGAGTGCTGCTCACTATCAGTACGGTTTATGTGCGAAAAGAAAGGATTTGTGTGGAAAAATAAAGTAAGAGTAGGTACGAGTTAGGTAATCTAAGATTTTTTTCAAAGCTAATACTGGACAACTCCAATAAAATGTTATTGTTTATTACTTTATTATTATCGCTTTGGGGTAACCTGTAATGTTAGAGATATGATTGTTGATAATTAAATAAATCTTTAGATATATTCCACTTAGATCTCGGGAAAATTAGAGAACTCGCTCAAATTACAATCCATATAGGGCACTCGACTCTACTAGTCTACCAGTCAGTTGAGAAGAGATAAGCTGCTAAAGTTGTGTCTGTATGTAGGTTATGTCATGGTTTGAGAGGAAATACCTACCACTTTGACATCACTTGTGGGTAGTAGGTACTTCTCCTGACAAATGATTATTATTGATTACATCACAACTTACTTACTCATCCGGAAACGGATGAAAAAGACTCGCATTGTGTAGTTTCATTATTACATTTATCTAACATCAAGCAACAAAGTAAAATTATAACTGTAATTCTTTGTTCAATGTTATCTACTTATTGGTTAGTCAGCCGTTCCTGTGGATGTACTCGTAACATCGAGAAAGAGTATTTTCATTACAACTTACAAGTAATTTGATTGCACATGTTGATGGTCGCTTAAAAGTTATGCAACGCTTCTTAACGTTAGGTTGTTTGTAAGTAACTTCAGTAACTTGTATCGGCCAGTGCCCACTGTTTGTATATCCTTCCTTATTATTCACTACCACATTAAGAGCAATTAAAAGACACATTATTGGTTAAGATAACTGCTATAAGGCTTTAATAACACCCTATTTATTTAAGCTTTCTAGCAGCCAAAAGCTAATTTTGTCCCAAGCACATTCAGGCTTAACGAACTAATACTACGAGACACCGTCAGACCTCCCCTCTTTTAAATTCGAACTAAATGAGATTGATTCTACCCCATCGAAGCGAAAGGTCACGGGATCAATTTGAACCAACACTTTTTCGTTGAATGGTGATTTATCTACAGCTAACGTCGTGGAATAATGTTGTTTTATTTTGTTGACTTCGCCTTACTTGGTTAGTCCAAGAAATTGATGAACTTTTATATACCTAAATTAGTACCTTATTAGATACTAATTACTAATTAGCAACTTAATGCAAATATTCCTAAAAATAATTTAATGGCCATCGATATCAATTATTATAATTTTCTCAATTTTTACTAACTTTACTGATTGCAGTTAAATATGTCAACGTCAGCACAAGCAGCGACTAGCTCATTTTTATAACGCATTCGTGTTACACGACGACAAATATGAAATATGTGGTTATAAATAAAAAAAAAACATTAAAATTAAATGATTGATTATATTATGATAAAATATATACGCTTCATGTTTCTTATGTAATACTAGCTTTCCGCCCGCGGCTTCGCACGCGTGAAATTTCGTTTGTCACAGATCGTTATAAATTATAGCCTATATGTTATTCTGGATTATGAACAATAATACTGTAAAGTTTCATCAAAATCCGTTCAGTGGTTTTTGAGCCTATTCGTTACAAACATACAAAAATAGGTACAAATCTTTCCTCTTTATAATATTAGTATAGATATAGATGACACATGGGTTAAAAAATGGATTTGATAGAGGCCTGTTCGAGATCCAATTATATTAATCCAGCTTTAATTAACTCATTTTCTTTTTTAAATAGCGTAAAAATAAAAATTAATCAAGCATAATATGATAGAGCTACCAGTGGCGACCAAACAAATGTGATATTGTGTCTTCTTGGCAGGTGTACCTACAACTGTAGCTATGAAAAACATACGTAAAATTTTTCAAAAATCACAAATTATTGTGATAAACCATGCAATTGTTCCAAAATTAACCTACCTCACTCCGCTCTAAAAATGGTAGTAAGTAACTGCCATTACAAGAACTGTAAGCACTTCATTGTGGAAAGGAAACTTATAAAAAGAAAGCAACTGTCTCTAGTGGAAACGTAGTTTCTTTATAGGCTGTCACTTTCTTAAGTGAATTATCATTAGTAAGTGAAAAACAGCAATAAAAATATAGAGTGAGAAAGTATTAATTAAACTCTATGCGCAACAGCTCACGCGACTGTAAAGTTTAACCAGATAATATTAAGGCTTTTAAAGTAATTTATAAAGTACATTGAAGGTTGTATCTTAGAAAGCATAGTTCTCTAGTCGCTCATTAGCTTTATTAAGTTTTGTTAGCAGCTACGCTAAATTGGGTAATTTACTACAAACAATATTTACGGTATTCTCGTCCTTCAGCTGCCCTTGGCACTGGGGAAGGACATCGTAGGATTGTAGCCTACGCACTTGGCAATCTGCCCGACGTAGTAGGGTGGCCATGTGCTATACATTTGTAGAGACAGTTGGTAAATGCCAGTTAGAGTCTCGCAACCGAGAACAAACGAAATAAAAATGTTATTTCTCTCAATAATGTTCTGTAAATAGAATTATTTTAATGAGACTGTCAATTTAACAACTGAACTTGTTAAACAAACGGTGGAATGGCACATGTCTGCTGTCTTGAACGCAATTTGAGAACGCAGCGAAGAGCGAAGTGATCACAATTGAAAAGAACCACAGAATTGAAAAGATGTTGATTAAATTGAAATTATCATATCGGTCAGTGTCGTGAAAAAAAGGCAGAATAGGTAACTAAAGTAAATAAACATTATACATTTAAATTTGAAACTTCATAACTTGCTACGATATATCTCTGAGGATATCGAGATGACGTTTTTCGTTAATCGACGGTGAACTGCTGCACACAGTGTGGGGTGCCATCGAAAATATGTATTTAGTATATGAAAGCATAATAATTTCTAGGAATTTTGGTACTTATTAGATGGTAGGATGGAAGATATTTGGCATAGAACCTACTTTTAGAACTGTTTAACGCAGTGTAAATCGTACATCGTTGATTTTTATAGACTCTACATGATTATTCAAAATTAAGAGGTTACTACGTACGTATATACGATACAATATGGGACATAATCACAATCATTTAAATGTTACACAGTTGTGAATAAACCCAAATCCTACATTAGGTTGTGTCGATAGACTCATGACTTGAACGACAAGAATGTAGGTACTCGAATTTCAATTAATGTATTCAAAAACCTTCCTCATTGCTCTAATTACTTGTGATATAAATTAAATTTAAATACTCGTTTAAGGGACAGGAAATCGAACGTTTAGAATTTATCAATCATCAATAATAATTGGGTTGGGAATGACGTTAAAATACAGAAAGGCAGCTGTTAATTTCATTAATTAAATCCATAATTGCGTCACAAACTACACGTTGCGCTATTCATGACGTTAATACTCATTCATATTTATCTCAATTCAACATATCAACAAGAGCCCAATCAAAATGAATTGTGAGCTAATGAACTCTTGTCAGCGCTGTATTCTGAAATAAATCAGTATTCATAGCAGAGTTGTATATGAACGTACCTACTACATACGAGTACTTTGTAAGTTTGCGCTGTTTGGAATTCCTTTGACTGGATAACATAATAATAAAGAGATTTTGTGTAGTTTAATTAATGTAATTACCTACTCGTATAGTTTGATGTAGCTGTAGGTAAGTACCTTTTTTATAAATTAGAGCTTTATAAAAGCTTTATCTACCTACCTAGTTTTTGCACAGAATTGATAGAAAATAAATACGTATTCTACCCACTATAAACATTGTATAAAGTCGGAATCGTCTTGATTTAATCGAATCCTTGGGTTTTTCCTCTACGCGGCACAAAGGTGCGAGGGTAGATATCGCTAAGCGGAGAGCAGCGCGCAGCGGGTCTGATTACCCTTGGGAATATAGTGTTAGTGTGCTAGCCAAGGCAATAATGGTACCTACAAGTATTTCGTAGTTAGAACGTATGAACATTTACAAGAGTTACTAGTCCAATTAAAAAAAGTAGAAGTAACTTTCGAGCCCCATATGGTCTTAGTAGCTAGCTGTATTGACTGTAACGCTATCAGTTGGTCATAATAGCGCCCAAATCACCGGTTTTCCACTAGTGAAAGCAAGTAGAGAGCATTTCGGAGGGAAACAAGTTGCTCGCCACGGTCTAATAGCAATCACGCGCCATTTGCGAGAGGGTGAGGGACCGGAGATCAGAATTTAATTTATATCTCACCACATCTGGGCGGATGCCCACTAGCACTATAGCTAATGGCTCTTCGAACGTTCGTATCATTTATGTAAAATACACTTTATGCTTCAGTAATTTATATCTTATGCCCAAGTACGTTGACAGCACTTCATGCTATATTTTTGTTGCATAATAGCAACTTTATTACAACTACTTATTATACAGATGGCACAGGTTTAGGATGTTGTGCTGTTTTCCGTACTTTATTTATACCTGAATAGATTGAAAACTATTCAAAATCCTATACCTAATTAAAG